TGTATTACAATTAAATCAACTCAGGTTTAAAAAAAAACACTTTTTCTGGTTTTCATCATAGAAATTCATATTTAGATCTTTTTCATTTTATTATAAATTACCTAATAAAGATTTATAATTCATTAAACAAGAACGTGAACCTAATGTATTATACTTTTCAATTAGTCTTATTGATTTACCGGATTACATTGATGATAGAGTGTGGGGTGGGGGTGAGAATGGAAGTAGAGAAGAACCCAATATACTCACATTCAAGATTATTTTTCGTATGAAATTTATTTATTGAAACCGTTAAAAATGAATTTTAACAAAAAAAAAGTCAATTACTAAAGCGGAAAATGATTGCTTGAATAAAAAGAAAATGATTTCATAATTGTTTTCAAAAAGTGTTATTATGTTTGTAATATTTTTTGATTGATTCAATTCTTTGTTGAATTGCATTTGAATAAGATTTTCCATATGGTTGATGACAATTAATTAAATTTTGTAAACTCACACGACATCGTTCAACAATCTTTGATCATAAATAAAAATAAAAATTTCTATAAAATGTTAAAAAAAGAAAGAAAACAGTTTTAATAAAATTACATCATCAATTGTATCTTTTGATAAATCATATTCAACTGGATCACCAATATATAAAGTTAATTTAGCTGGTATTGGAATTTGGATCCATGTCATTGAAAACCAAATAATTGAACCAATTACATTTAATAATGATGTTAAGATTGGAATATTTAAATTAACAATAAAGAAAAATAAACGTCCAAGATAGAAAAAATTCCATAAATACAGTATTGGATTCCAACGCATTTCTTCTTGATTCGACATAAATGTGGGTACGATTGATACTTGAGCTTGCGTTGCTACATGAACAAAACCTTTTCCTATTTTTAAAATATTTTATCTATTTAATTAACTATTCAAAAATCTCACGTTTATTAGGCCAATAGACTTTATACGCATTTTCATGACCAATCATAGCTTCATCGGCTCCACCTAGAAAAATCAATAAAAACAAAAAGAAAAGTTCATTTTTTTCAGATGAATTCATATATTAATTGATACCAGGTATAACAGCAACCCAAAATCGACTATTTAATAAAGATAATGCAGTATCTCGTTCTCCTGGTAAAGAACCCATTAATCGAAGTATTGGAAATAATGGAATTAAATAACGATGAATTAAAGATCTGATTCATTGAAAATTCAACGCAACAAATATTGATTAAGATTTCTTAAACATAAAACAAATTTACCTAATTACTCGACCTGTTTTATGATATACGAATACAATAACACCTTGAATTTCTGCATTGTGTGTCGAATGCCGAGAAATAAAAAGACAACCTTTGTTAGGATCGATTTTATTTAACCCAATAACTAAAATAGAAATTCAAAAATATTTCAAAAAACAAATAAATTCTTGTATTTCAAACTCAATTTTCTAATATAATAAGTGTTTATTCATACTTTCAAAATCATGAAAATAAACAAATACATAATAATAAATAAATGTTAAAAGACGAAAGTACCATGATTGACCAATAACATCATCTGGTAAAAACGCAAGACGTGTCCCAACTGAATAACGTTGTGCTTCATTTTTTACACGAGGATCATTAATAGATAAATCGATTTTCTTTTTTATATTCATCAAATTCATATTCAAATAATTCTCTAAAATCAATTGAACATCTTTTCGTATACAGGGTCTTTCATAATAACTCAAGACAAATTTTCCATTACATTTTTTATACTTGTTCTTAACGCAGAGGACTGACATTTTCATCACATATATATCTAACTATAATCTTTAATTTCCGAAAGCTTCAGCTCTTTGTCTAAAACTAGTGCTGAAATACATGAATTTTCCTATTTGATAGTGGTGATCCCAGAACGATGATTACAACCGTCGTAACGGCCAAAAACGATAACATATACTATCGTTTTACACAGTTAAAGGTCGTAAATAGCCGTAAATTGACGTTTTGGTAGCGACAGCGTTACGGCCATTTTTCACCGTGTCGTACACGGCTAGTAACGGTCGTAAACGACCTAAAATCGAGTATCCGATCGTTTACGCTCATTTACAATTCGATGAAATACGGCCGTTTACGCCCGGGCTTGTTTGACATGGGATATCTTTATTTATTGACTAGCAACATTTATAAATACACCCTAGTCGATTCTCACTATTGGAATCCCCGGGGAGTCAAGCAAAATAGGAAAAAATTTGTGATGAAATCTCTGTCGGGAAGCTCCAATAAGTCAAGTAAAAAAGCAAGAAAATCTTTTGGGGAATCCCTGAAGAATCTCTAGAGATCCTTCAGGCAGTAGCCGATCCAGGATTTTCTGATATGCTGGATCACAGCTTCAGGGTACGGAACCCATATCCATATGAAACGTATGGAGAGTGATAGTGGGTCCAAATGATGAGTTTTTACCCACAAATTGTTACGATTGGAGTTTGCGAAAAAGCGCCTTTTTTTCGAGTGCCATCAATTTCAATTTTTTTTGCCTCTAGTAGTATTCAATTTTCTAGAATGTCGTCGTAATCTACATCGAATTTCATGAGCAGATTTCAAATTTCATCTGAAACCATGCATCCGTTCAGGAGTTATAACATTTTGAATCTTTGCGTCAGGTTGTAAAAATTGTCAGAATAATCCAAAACGTCATCAGTCCTGAACGAATGCATATTTTCCGATGAAATTCAATGTAGATTACAATGGCATTATCAAAGAACGAATACTACTAGAAGCCAAAAAAAATTGAAGGAGTTGACACTCAAAAAAGGCGTTTCTTTCTTGCAAACTCCAATCGCAAAAATGCTTTGGTAAAAACTCATCATTTGGATCCACTACCACCCTCCATAAGTTTCATATGGATTCCATGATCTGAAACTGAGATCGAGCATATAAAAAAGTCCTGGATCCTTTACTGCCTTCAGGGACTCCCAACAGAGATTACAATAGTGAGAATCGATTAGAGCATGTTGGAAAGAAGCTTTACAAGTCAATTATTTTTAAAAATACTAACTATAATAAAATTCAATGTGTACGAATATGCTCTCCGTTGTTTACAATGACGAGCTGTAATCGATAAGGTATTTTGTTCATCATTTTTGCACATTTAATACGTTGTAATTTATGAAAATCATTTAACTTTTGCATCTTTTTCTTTTTGTATCACCTTAGTTTTAACGTTTTAGTTGCTCGATCAATTGAAGCTGCAGATAATGTAAATTGTCCTCTTTTGACATTACTATCAACTTTTCTAATAGAAGCTCCCCTTTTCAATCTAAGACTATTACTAATTTCAGATCTTGTAACTGTTACAGGACGACCAGATCGTTTTTTTTATCATTAATGTTCCTTCTTTTTTATATTCTTGATAAACAGTTGTCAAGCGATTCCTATTTTAATTGTGGTGGATTGTCACAACTTTGAATGAAGCGAATAATGTGGGCAATGCTCCATATTGTATTGCACGGTTTTAAATTCAATAGAAAGCACCTAAAATCTTTTCTTTCTTCGTAACTGATGGACATTTAACATAAAATTGGTCGTTAAGAATTTGAAGAATTCGAGATATATATGCGTTCCTATATAGTGAAAATAATTCTTTGCCACTACTTTGCGATTCAGTAAGAGATAAACATATCACAAAAATTCATGTATATTAATCCCAAGCCAAATCGAATGAACCGTAAACGGTCTTAAAAGATTTGAAAACAGTGAAAAGCGGTTTCCATTACGGTCATCGTTTACGACTCAACGGAAACAGCCATCGTTCTGGCTGTCGGTTTTACCCCGTTTTCATGCACAACAAAAATCCATCTCATAAACATCATTAGATATGTTCTAATGATGTTTAGTGGATAAATCTTAATGATCTTATGTCCTATTTCTACTTGGACTGACTTTTAATGTTTCGCGAGAGGGATTCGCTGAGGGTGAAATAAACGGTAGTCTTTTTTTCTCTTAAATTTTGATTTTCTGTGTTAATGTGAAGTCCCGATGAACTTTTTTGAACTAACTTAGCATCGACAGATAGATTTTGTTGAGATCTATTCAACGATATAATGTACGCTCTACAAAAAAGTTTGTCTTGCCCTGTGATGATTAACATGGTATTAGTATTGACTTATCGAGTGAACATACACATATTCGTTATTTTCTTTTCATAAGTTCTATAGATGATAGAACCTGTTCATTGATTTTCTATGTGTTTAGTAGTACGCTTATCCAAGTTCCAATGGTATTGCTTACTACATATCGCAACAACGGCTCGTAATCGTTTAAAAATGACTATTGAGTTGCTTGTTAAAAAATACGCCTTTGAAAGAATAGGTCTTTTATTAGTGACCTCTTTTATCTAAAAAAATGTTTTATGATACTTTGACGCGCAGTACGCAAGATTATTGCGTATTTGTGGACCCTTTTTCATCTATCCACTATGGATATACCTCATGTGGATAAATCTGTATGCAGGAATGCTATTTATAAAATGAAATGCTTCATATAGTAAATGAGAGAATAAGCAGAATGCTATCATCTAGAGTGTAATTCTAGAAATGAAAATGAGCCGTATACGATAAAAAAAACAGTGTTAATACAGCTCCTCGTTATTCAGTCACAAACGGCGCCGTTTCGGTTCCGATGAAACACGTTTCGCAATCTGGAATGACGCATTATGGCCCGAAAAGGGTGTGAAGTGGGTGCGGGTGGCTGTAGGTGTGAGTAGTGAAGCAGTATTATCACCCGCACCCACACCCCACACCCAAATATATGTTTAAATGCATCATTTAAATAAAGTAACATTCATTGAAGATGTTTTTAAAGCTAATTTCTAAGTGTTTTCAAATATAATCTTGAATAATAATAATAATAATAATAATAATAATAGTTTTAATGAAAAGAAAAATAATTGTTGTTTGTTTTGTTTTATTAGTCTCTCCTTTATATATTTTGTTCATAAGATGTTTGATAAACTGTTTACTGCTGATAAGTACCACTTCGTAACGTTTCATTGATACCAGCTGTAGCTACTTCACGAGCTGCTCCACATACAGTTGAACTAAAGACAATTAACAAATTTCAAATATAATTTTATTTGTTTTTATAATTGATTTACTTTTTGACAAAAGTCGATTGAAATTCTCGTTGTGTTTGTTCAAGAGTCGCACCCGATTGTCGTTATAATCGATGAACCTATCACATATATCAAATTGAAAATCATTTCCAACAAACAAATCAAAATAAAGCATTGACTGNAGGAAAAAAAAACTCTCTCGAGAATAGTTGTACATGTTGAACAAGTGCAATATTATCCGGTCATTTTTTTGAATTGGAAGTTTAGACGATAAAAAGTTCTAGTATAATTTTGTAGAGAATTAAAAAGGGGAATCTTTTGAGACAAAGCACAAACTTCTAGAATGAAAGCAGACCGAGAAAAATACGAAATACAAAATATGTCATTATTCAGGGATCACCTGTTCTACCGTTGCAAAAGTTTTGGAACATTTTTTGTTTTGCATGTATCTCTGTTGAGGAGCATAATAAAAAGTTTATCTTTTGTCAAAAGATGCGTCGTCGAATTCTATATAAATTTATATTGTCCTTAATTTAGAAGACTAGAAATGAACATTTTTCTAGATAGCATTGTGTGATTATGTGAATTGAGCCTACATCCCACACATTTTTTAATAATTTATTCTTTTCGTGCAAGAGAATCTTTTATTATTAAAACATAATTTACTGCTAGACAGCTGTTGAAATCCTCTATCGATTGTATAGATATGCGAAGTTTTTAAATGGTCATTCTTTCGGCTAAATACATTGTCATATTTTGAAAATAGCGTAATTTTCATGCTTCACTACTCCTTATCAAAAAAAGCATTTTAGAAATGTCACCTATGACCAAACCGAGTTCATTTTTGCAGTGCTTTGTAGAAAATTGAATTCTCCTTCTATATGGAGTCCTAATAACGGGTGAACAACGATGCAGTTCGAAGAAAAATTCGAATAGTGTCCAGAGGCCCGCTTTCGTTCTAGCAGCTCAGACAAGCCATGATTTTAGATTGACATCAAACACTTACAAATAATTCTAAAACAGCATTTCATATACACTCAAATTACAAATAGAAAGTTTTTTACGTGCCTATTTTTAACTTGGAAAGTTCGTTGGAAAAGCAAAAACGAAAATGTGTGGGAAGTAGGCTTAATTCACATAATCACACTATGCGACCTAGAAAATTATTGAGTTCTAGTATTTTAAATTAAAGTAAACAGAAACTTGTAGAGAATTCGATGGCGCATCTTTGAAAAAAAAGATAAACGTTTTGTCATGCTTCTCAACAGAGTTACATGCAAAACAAAAAATGTTGCAAAACTCTTGTAACATCCGATATACGAATACGAGCAATATGCAAGACTACGCTTTCTTGGCTAATTATTAGTTGAATATCATTGAAAAATCTGTCTTTGATGTCCGAGAACAATTGTTTCTAATCGATGGATATTAACTATTTATAGAAATGAATTTTTCGATAATATTCGTCTTGTTTTTGTTCGAATTTAATTACTATTTATGATTTTCTGAACTTTGGTCGAAAATTATAGAGTATGAAAGTAGAAATCTCCATTAATCTGATACTGATNGGATAATAAGCTCACTGTTTCTATCGATTGCTTATGTAGAAGACGAAAGCATGTTAAATCATAATAACATTCTAGTGTAGAACCCAACGTTGAATCAACAACATAACAATCAACTATCATTCCTGGAACTACTACTAATTGATCTCGGCTGTCTTTGATAAGAGCTGGACGTGGACAACCGGAAATAGACAAACACGAGCAATTTTCGAATACTACTGGTAACATTTTTGGGTGATCCCAATTTCCGAAAGTCGACGGTGGATAACGAAGATAAAAGTTGGTTCCCAAAGCTGAAATATATTGATTCCCAGCCATAGTCTGTCGGATAGCAAGTAAAATCAGAGCAAATGTTGTTTGAGCCGAAGAAATATGATTATTGAGATCTCCTTGAGCTTGATGGCGAAGAACTTCTTCGGTTATTGCCATCGGACTAAGAATGCGTGATGCATCAAACCTTGTGATAGCATCAGCCAACGTGCTCTTGCTCACAATACAAAAACCTGAGATTGCTTGCCAGAAAAAGCTGAGGTAAAATTGAATGTCAGATTCAGTTGACGATGAAGAGTTTTTTTCGACGAATACTGAATCAATCCATTCTTGTGTGATAAATTTACTTGAACATAATTGGTGAAAATCGACGTGAACTGTCACAAACGATCCATAGGTGATTCCAACTTGAGAGCATCGACATTGAAGAGTATTCGGATATTTTTTCGCCAAATATACGAACGTGGCTCGTGAAGGTGAATAATCAATACCATTGTCTGTTTGAATAATGAATGCAGAAATAACTCCGATAGTGAGAAGAAGACCAATCAGTGATAGAATGTAAACGCGTGTTGCGAGTTGTTCTCTTGAAGCAGTTTGTGCATCACTCGAGTTGGTTTCGAATAGGTTCAGACGAAGAAAAGACTTGTACAAGGAATTCAATAAATTCCACACCATCATTGCTCTGTTTTTATCTGGTAACTAGACGTGTTCAATGAAATATCTTGGGAAACGAAAAGCTAATATTTCTTGCTACACTCACAAGACATCTGGAAAATAGCAATCTGCAGCTATACTTCTAATGTGCATATGGAAACTGAAGGAAGATATGAATATAATTTAGGATAGTGAATAACAGTTTTGTGTGCATGCATTGTTAGTGAACAATTTGACAAACGAAAAATTTTCCAATTAATTTCATAATTACATGCAAAGACACTTCTTGAAAGATAAGTTTTTATGGGTAACTGAGATGAATACATTCAACGTAATCTGAAAAGTCATGCTACGTTTTACTCATCGAAGATCTAAAAAAGTCAGAAACTTGAATATGGCTGTTAGAGCAAGACGTGGCCTAATAAGATTTTCTTATGCTCTCTCAGCTTAGGACAACATTCATCTTCCTATAAATGTGCTCGTACATAGATTCCCTATCGCTCTCTTCTTCTCTCTGATATGGATTGAGAAGAAACTCAAAAATCATTTATGAGAGAAGAATCTTTTACGCAGCAAGAGTAATGTTTCATGTCAAATTCGTTGCTGGAAGTTTTGTGATTATCGTCGACCATTATCATTGCTCTATAAACAAGATGAAAATCATGTTAAATGAATTACAACACCACATGAAAATCTAATAAGAATTTCGATGCTTTATTACTTATGTCGAGACTTAGAAAGCAATTACCCATTGTTTTCATTTTTATATAACTGCAAAGATCAAATTTCAGGCATTGTTTTCATGCATGACCGATCGGAAACTGACTGACATATATGACTTCTTGGAAGTATCAGCGGACATCAATGTATTGAATATGAAAGCAATAAAAGAAACATCATCTGCTTAATCAGAGAATCTCCAGGTACCATAGATGAAATCCTCAGCTCTTTTTCTTATCAATATCGATATCAGTAGAAAAATCTTAACCAGACTGCCTTGTTTATTGATATGACGCATCCTTCATTTTTTTTTACCACAATAAAAGTCAACTCTAATTCTCAATCAGCCATTTATGCTTTCTAATCACTACAGTAATGATAGAATAGTTCATTTTTAGTACTTTTTGTTACTTAATTTCACAGGTTCTTTTGCTCTTTGGTATCTATTGCTGAAAAGAAAACGTTATACGATTAAGAATTGCTTCTCAACTTCACTCATTCATGGTTGGTTCGTCAGACAAATTTTCCATATTATATCTCCTGTGTTGCCTTGTATAGGCATATAAATGATATCCTCAAACTAGTTTAGTAAATATTAGTAAATTTTCGAACAACTACAATGTTAAAGCATCATTCAGTTTTTTTCTAATAATATAAATTGACATGAAAATGGGTTGATAAACTATGAGTGATATTGCATGATGAAGTTTTATTCAATACAATAGTTTGGTTTCTGTTTCTTTATACAAAGAGTCTTCGACATCGGTAAAACATTTTTGATTGGCTAAAGACAAAATTTCATTTTTAACTTTTTTGAAAGAAAAAAGCTGAAACGGGAAAAAAATTGAGCGGAAGGCTTGTGAAAAGTTTGTATATACTGTATGTTAAATTAATGTCGATTGAATCGGTCATTTATCATAATTGGCTGCAGCTCTACCAGATGGCATCCGTCTTTCTAGCTTCATCGTTTTTTTCTCTTACAGCTTGCAGCTACTAATTTGAAATTTAACGTAAGGCATGAAGTTATATTATGATAGCTGTGTCTGAGTTCTAATGTTAATTTATGATACATAACTCTTCAAAGAAATCGCCATAGCTGTTATTTACTCAAGAGACGCATTTCAATCATTTTTCTATTGAAAATATCATATAATTTTTAAAAAAAACCGGGAGGATTGATTCGCCTGTCCTATTAAATTATTTTTGTCTGTTATTCAAATTGTGATGTCCTCTTAAATTTTTACGTGGGAGACTGTAGAAACAAGACGTAGGTAAAATTAGCACCCGATTCGAGTAATTCCAGCACCGATTCGCCTAGAAAGTGTTCCAGGTTGTTCCAGAACAGTTCCAAATACAATTCAACGTGCTCTATCGAATGGTGAAGTCAGATTTAAGACGTCACGCGCCATTCATGCAAAAATTCAAAAATACTGTTTTTCCCCCATCAAATGTTGATAGCGCTAGAAGTAATTCTACCACCAATACGCCCTGGAAGCGTTTCACATTTTTTCCATCGTGTCTTCTCATTTGCGAACATAAAATCGAAATTCAAAATCTGTTAAATTCAATTTCAGCTGTTTTTTAAATTTATTTTATTCAAATTGAAACTAATCTCAGGTCTCAAATTTTCGGTTTTCAAATTTCAAAAAACTACTGTCAACAATTTTAATACGACTTAAACTTTCAGTTATATTTTTAAACTTGCTGAAATTTATAGAGTTCGCTAAAGATTGAGTTTCATTATTTCAATTTAATGAACTGTAATTTGTAGAGTGCTCTAAAATATAGTAGTGCTTTTTTTATTCTTAATTGACTGCAATTTATAGAGTTCGCCAGACATAATTGTTACTATGAATCCCATCAGCTGTTTTTGATTTTGAACAGACCATATAATTATGATTATAAAATGGAATCAAACATGGAATGGAGATAACTGATTGGGGTGCAAAAGCATTTATACAGAAAAATCAAAAATACAAAAATGATGTTCTAAAAAGGACGGCTTAGAAATATAAATGTTGATGAGCGTCTTCTTTTGCCGACCACAGCTCGATTCGCCCACACCACATTCGGAATAAATATCGATTATCACAACAAATTATAATGCAATCTCCTTAAAAACTCGCTTTGTCTTTAACTAAAATCGTTCTTATCTCAGCCCTAATCGATGATCCTTGCTCGTGCATAATGAGTGTTAGTTTATCAATAACAAGAAAAACAAACCAGCTAGTACATTCTATTTTTGTCTTCTATTAAAATTCTTCGCAGCTGGATCCAAACGAAAATCTTAACTCAACCAAAATCTAACGCCCTCTACAAATTACAGCATGCTTAGTAAACAAAAAATAACTTTTTATTAAAATCTTTTAAAACAATTTACTTTCAATATTCGTTCGCAGTAATCAAATTTTTAAAAGTTAAGTAGAAATTTTAATCGTTTTACGACAAACTAATAAAAATTATCAAATTTAAATCAAACGAAATTATAAAAATGTTAATTTACTTAAAATTTATTTTCTTTATGTTCGCAAATGAGAAGTACCCGTGTATTTTACAATTATCTATGAAGTCTATCAGCTATAACGAGTCCATGACGACTCTTAGCGATATTATCACTGAGTTTTAACCCTCGAAAGACAAGTATGTTGTAACATAGATAGAAAGATAGGTAGGTAAGTAGATAGATAGATACGTAGGTAGATAGACAGATAGGTAGGTAGATAGATAGATAGGCATGTCGCTCAGTGATAATATTACTGGTAAATGTCATGTGCTGGCTTGTATATTCCTTAAGAAACTGCCCTTTATGAAGGACTACAGAGTCACTTATAGGGCCGCTCCCTGAATAATCCCTAGGGTCTCCCTGTAAACTCTCTGATAAATCTGCAGAGACTTCCTGTCGTGAGTCCCCCGGGAATTTTCGGGGGACTCCCTGGGGACTCGTTAAGGAATTCTCGACTAGGGTTGTTATTTTAGTCGAGAATTCCATGAGATTGTTGTAAAGAACAATTTGATGTTGGATTTCATGCAAAATGATTTTACCAAGACAATGTAAATTCGACACTATCATTCTTTTGATTACAGGAGTAATTAGGTGCTACTGTATTTTGACCTAGATATAACTCATACCGTGAAAGAGTCAGTTGTGGAGAAATAAATCATCAAATCTTTTATACTTGAAAAAAAAAACGATCAGACACCAGATTATTATAAGTCACATATTCTGTTTTAATTAACAAACAGAAAAAATAGTGAGAGAAAATTTTTTTCTGTTCCCTTTCACATCAGATGATAAGTTTATCTTTCATTTAAGAAAACACATACTTTCTTATGCTACTCATTCAATCTTTTCAAAAAATAATAATCATGGACTTTGAATTATTGTTAACAGAATATTTCAAGATATTCACAATACAAACAAATGCATTAAATGTTTATTTTGAATGCTTTCATAAAAAACGGTTCTGTGCTGCTTTGAATTGGACAGCTTAAATTTTGTCGTAACTTTTTATATCAGTAGCAACGTTATTTTGATAACTTTCAAATTATTTTTACTGATGAAATTTGGTAGAATAAAGATGAATGTAATTAATTGTTTTGATGGTTTCTCATTATTTTTATGACACAATTTAAAAAAAATATTTCTGTTCTGTTCTTGAAAGAGATTATTGTATAATCTGACTTTTAATTATCTTTCGTATAAGTTCTGATTTGAGACTAAATCTACTATTAGTTACTTGTTCTTTACTCATAATTCAGTTCTTTGTACGTCATTTATCTAGGAATCAATTAAAGATCTTCAAACAAAAGCATGCGATAATTAGTAGCTGAACTTCTAATATTGATAAAACCTATTCCAGATGAATAATTTTCATCTATGTATCAGAAAAGAATATTTGAAGTATCAAAAACTTTGTTACATTCTATACAGGATGTGCGTGTGGGTGTAGGTAGAGAAAAGGTCTATACCGACATACCTACAGCCTTACTATTTCAATTTTTTCTGACCACTTGAGTCATAGTGTATTTTTATTAGAAATCGAATCGTTTTGAACGTAGAACTAAAGAGAAACACTACCATGGGACCGAAATCATATTAAAATCAACATATCAATACCAAAACTATACTAAAAACCATACACTAAAAGCAAAAATTTTAGTACTGGTGCATGTCTAGTAATAATGAGGTAAGAGAAAGATGAAAAGTTTTCTTTCGGGAATTTCGATATTTCAGAACAAGTTTAGACTAAAAGAATTTTTTTATTGATGGACAAACTAGTAAAAGACAAAGAAATTCTATTTCTTCGTTGATGTTGTATGAAGAAAGATGCGATTGTGCTTTTCGATATTGTCCATTTTCTGTTATCAGCTTTTCGTAAGCCACTTCACATTCATATTTAGTGAAATCTACATGCATTTGCAGTTCAGCGAGCATTCCCAAACAACCATTCGATTTACAATCTTTTTCAACTATCACAGTGATGAAACAACACTATAATTTAAATGCATATTCAGCTTCCAGTTGACAATAAGAGCTTGATTTATAACTTTCTGAGATTCAAACTAGAATAAATCGGGAATTTTCAATTGTCTCTGCTATTCTAGATACAGTTGGCCCATACATATTTTCAAGATCAATCCAAACTTTGAAATTATCTTTAAGAAGACGTTAATATAATTTATGACATATTCTTATATTGATGACAATAACTAATCATTATATCATATGAACTAGTAAGTGAAGATGGCTTTGACGTTTTCTTAATTTCTTCTCCTTTAGAGTATGGATTCCAGAAGTTTTCATCTGGTTCTACACAACCTTTGAGAATTATTCCAATCACTGAATAATCCTCTTGATACGAAGCATAGCAGAAAATTCTTTCATCTTCATAATCAAATGTTCCATAAGCAAGAATATGTGTATTCACAGCACGAGCATAAGCTTCCGTAGCAATCTTGTAATTTGAAGCACGATCATCATGAATAAGATGAATAGAAATAGGAAATAATTTTCCATCCTTGAACATAAAAAAGCATGCCTTGATGGCAAAACATAAGTATGTGGAGGTGTGAATTTTGTTGGATCTGAAAGTTCATGAAGAGAAACGAAAAAAAAATATCTAACTTCATACTCTTTATGTTCATAGACTATTGGTAATGTATCCCATTCTACTGTACCAAACAGATTAGGTAAATTATCATTAACATCATCTGGCGAATCATCGAAACAATATTCATTGTAAGCTGAAGACCAGAATGATGGTGGATGAGACTCAAAGACCGTTGTTCTAACAAAGGAATGGATTGTTGTGGCACTGGTTCTTTCTTCGAGCCGTTACCCATGAAAATCTCTTCTTGTTTTTATTTATTTGTCGCTTTCATAGTTTGATAGGAGAAATTGTCAATTGGATGATTATAATATCCTTAGTTGTTGCCAGAGCTAAAGTAATGTCGCAGTTAGTTACACAACAAATACGATTGATGAATTGATCATAAAATGGCACTACCGTGCACAAAAGAAGGCAACACTGTGTGCAAAGCAAAGGAATGAAATATTGTTGAAATCTTCCTTCATGCCAAAATATACTTCAATAAGTTTCTCTATTATTGATAAAATTTTCTTCTTCTCCAGCTTCCTTTCATTCAGATGAAAGAATAGATTACGAACGACGAACATTGTCATTATTCAGTGCATCTTCGTTTTATCGAAGTGATAAACTAATTGATGAAGGGGTGGGTGTGGATACGAGTTTTAGTCTTCACTTCACCCACACCAATATCCACAACCATACCCATCAACCCTCTTTCTGGTTCCATTCTATCATTTCTATAATCATTATTTTGATCTCTTGCCTAGCCAAGCTTCTAGTATTATTTATAGGAGACAACTTCTTCACTTTGAAAAATCAAGAACGAAGAGAAAAGAGTACAATAATACATATAAGGTTCCGGGTAGAACTAATTAATTTTTTGTCTTTCAGTTCCGACAAAGTTCTGTTTTTTTTGCTGTTATGCATTGGTGAAGTGATGAGGCGGATTGTAAGTTGATAGTTGAGTTTTTCTAGTTGTTGTCAATGGCATTTCATTGGTTCGATCATTCGTCCGAGTTTGAGTAATTGAGATAACACGATTTTGTTTCCAACGATAACATCTGATGAAGCATTTAAACGTGGCCATCAATTCCTTTCGAAATGTGCCAGATACCAATGTGTTTGAATAGAATGATGAGGCTGGGAATACATATACAAACAGTTCAGTGATTACTTGCGCAAAGCCTTCAATTGCTCGACGATCTGCGGATTTATTCAATATGTCGCGAGTGAGTGATGTGTATATATTATTTGACATGAATGGAATTGCAGAAATAATAAAGATAGCTACTTGTGCCAATAGTATGATTAGTACTTGTTGATCCCGGATATTTTTCTGTCTTTCTGATCCAGCCACATTAATCATCGTTCTACGTTGGTTTTTCATTTTGAGACTTCTCCAAATGAATAGAGTGGATATGAGCATAACTAAAGGTGGCAATGTACCACCCATAATAATTGTATAAATACCATGATAAATAGCCACACTATTGTTTGACATTATGCATCCAACATTGCCTGGTGGTACAATATTGGCAAATATCAGTGCATGGATAGGCAAGACCATCCAAGCAATGACAATCAAGATTGTTATTCGCCGACTCTTGTTAACTGTGAAAAAATGTCGGATATTAGCATTTGCTGAACATGCAACACAACGATCGACACATGCCATAGCCAGTAACCATCGACATGCCATAGCACTCCATTGATTAACATAGGCACGGGTCTTACAAAAAGCATTGATGGAAAAGAATGGATTCGGAGAATTGAATTGGGCATAAATTAAAGGTATGATACCGAACGAAATCAGGACGATTGCAGCAAATGATGATGCGAAAAAGTCTACAAATAAGCATTATTTATGTCACTACAGCTGAGAATAACTCATAATGAAGAAGAAATATGGCTTTTTTTTTCGTTTTGGAATTGAAAGAGTAGAAAAATTTTGTCTAGAAAACATTTTGAATTTCTACCATCACTAGATTTCTGTCCGATTTCAGATTACTTACAAGTGCAACATGAATTTGATCGCAAATTTCTTCGAGAGAAGAGTACTATATTCATCAAAGAACCAACGGCACCAAGAACAAAGACACCTGATTCTACGTATCTAATAATGATTCGTTGAGCGAAGGCGAGCGATATAGCCAACGATGTTGCCATGTATGATCAAATTCTTACTGAGCTAAGAAAAAAAAAGTCTTTGTGGAAATAATTTCTAGACGTAAAATGAAAGTCTTTCTTACAATAACAACAAAGAATATCTCTTTCAAGTTCCTGTCATTTCTTCTCTTGCCTACTTTTTACTTGTGTCACTTGTTGACGTCAATGAAACAAACACAGCTAATTAATGTAATTAATAACAAGCATCTAGTTATTCGTGAGCTGCACTTGACAGCATAATCTTCAACTAGATTTTATCAGTCCACTCGAGTGTTTGGTGCAATCTCAATAATAAACAGATGAAATACTCTCTCATTGTAGAATGTAAATCTGTGGCAAAATGACACAATGTCATCAACAAACATGTAAGAATTGATAAATGATTCGAAGAAAGTAGAAAACAGAAATATCTCATGTTTTTGGCATTTAATAACGACGGAATAAAAATGGGCGTTGTTAAAAAGGCGTTCTATCTATCATCATGAAGAACTGTTGTGTTAAAAGTAATTTAAAGTATAAATTCCATACTTCTCATCATAGAAATGGGAATGTGCAATTTTTATTTTCTTGCGAACGAGCAATTTTGCCGCTTACAAAATTGAATTCGCATAACGACATATGATAATTTTCATAAGGTATGATTCATACATCTCTCTGGATGTAGATCAATTTTGAGAATGCCTCAAACAAAATAAAAAAATAATTCACACCATTAAATCACCAACAAAAGACTGGCGACCTTCTTGCTCTTTTCTTTTATCTTGTCTTTTATGTTTCACGGAAATAGATTTTTCAACAGATGACTAATTGATGAACAGCAAACTGAAGACCAAGTCGCACCGTTAAAAATGGAAAATTCATTAAAAATTGCGCATTACATGCTGTTCTCGTGTTTCCAAGTGTATACTTAAGAACTTCATTTAATCAGGTCACAAATAAACGCAAAACTACTCATCATATGACTTTTTACTGTATTGAATTTCTAAACTGTAACAGAAAACTAAGTTGGTAGGACATATATTTCATGTTGACGATCTGAACAGACGTATCAACAACATACTTTTGAAACAAACACGTATATTGTCTCACAGTTCAGAAAAGATCGATGGCAAGGCATGGCTCTTATATAGTACTTAGTTGATTGTCTATGCTTCAAAGTTTTCAGTAAATTAGATAGAAGTAGCACGTTAAGACTTAATATGAAAATAGAGTCGCGACACACGACCTAAAAGGTGAAATCACTTTGCAGGGAATTCACTTTTTCGTGTCTCGTTCTGAAGTGACAGTTCTTATTCAAAGCATGTTTGAACAATATTGAACGTTAGTAGCCTTAATCAGAAATTTCTCTCATGGATGCATATAAACTTAAATTTGAAAGATAAGTTCCAATGGAGAGTATTAGTTCTCAAAGTACATGCATGGTTGCTCTTGCAAAACTATCTTTTATTGGGTAGCATCATTATAAACGAACACCTAGGTTGTTTTTCAAGTTTCTGTACTTACAAATTAATAAATTATTACTCCCTTTTCGTCATATAGACTAAATAATCTCTTTAGCTAAAATTTTGAAGTTTCGATTAATCGAAAGTAATTTTTACTCGATCATGATTTTCAATGATTTTCTCAGTAAAATAAAGCAAAGATTTGGTAGAAGCTTTAAGAAACAGATTATCCTAACTTGATTTATACGTTGTGCATAAAACAAAATATCGTTTATCAATAGATGAAATTGCACAGCCTTTCTTAGACGAAGAAACAAAAATGCTATTGCATACTCGAAAACCTATTCGTCTAAGTATTGGTAAGCTCTTAAAGCTGATATAATATTGATGAACATTGCTGTGTCTATTCTGTTGTTATTGCTTTCGTAAGCATTATTTCTCAGAGGAGTAATGTGTTATATTTTCTCAAACAATAGCGCTACCATAATCTGAAATATCTTACGCATATATATTTGTATTCAGCAATTTATCATATGTGTGAGTACAAGCGATGATTCGTTGAGAAAATAATAATGTTTGTGGATTTTGTCAATAACTACTATTTTATTTGTTTCTGAGGTTTTGTCAATGAAACATACAAAAAGGTCAGAAATTGTATCGAATTTGTTCACACTTGGGATAAGAACTGGATACAATCACCAATTTAGACGAGAATTTGCCCATTTATCAACAATAAGGGAACAATTCATCATGTAATCATGTGAAATTGAAAAATATGATGAACATTTTAACTCCGATGCTCGCTTTGATATGATTCAAGATGTCTATTTGTGTTTTGAAAGAAAAACAGTTGCTCTGGATATCACAATAAGATCATGAAGCGAATGTAATGGAGCTAGTCTAGAAAATATCTGGGCCAAAAAAATAGTATTGAAGTTCTTGCATACTTGCGATAGTTGTAGTTCAAACATTATACGAGGATGTGTCTTATTTCAACAGAACTTCATATTTCCTGTTGGTTGAAAACGTTCCACTTTTATGGTTCACTAACATAGTTCTATGAATCACTACTACATCCCTTTTTTGTTTTTCTATATTAATCACGATTTTTTAACCTTTCTGGTAGACTTTGTCATGTGCTAATGGCAAATAAGACTGTTCATTTACTAATTTATCATCAGCTGCGTCTTTTCTCTTCTATAGAGCCAAAGATAAAAAGAGCACGTCTTTTTTTCTCGTTAGCCCTACCTTTTCGATAGTTTGCGTGTCTGTTAAAATAACATGATAGGTTGAAAAATATTTCTCTCACTACTTTTTGTTCACACTTCACATCAGCTTAACAATGACCTTGGTTAAACATTTCAGATGAGTGCAGCATCTCAATATTTTAATGTATGATTAGCAGCATTTTTTATTAACGAATGGAACCATTTCGGATGTACTATCAACGAGAAACTGATTCAACAAAACAGCAGATATAATTACAGCAACAGGTCTTGTTGTAGCTGGATATCAATATGATTTGTTTGTTTTCTCAACATTTTATAATAAATAGATTAATATGTTTGCTTGAACTGTAGTGAATATGAATGATTGTTGGCAAATAAGTTGAGATTATGAAGCTACTATTCAAAACTTTGGTTGATAATATACATTCGAGAAAACTTAAATTCGATCTTTATTCAAGTACGACAAATCAATGTGATCATTCATCACTCTGTATCTGGAAAAACAGATCTATTTCGTTGAGATAGAACTTTATTGACTAGATTTCATTTATTTGAAAGGGAAATGGATATAATGTCGACTCTAAGCAAGCTTTCAAACAATTGACAGATCTTCTTGTATGTAAGCTAAAAGTGGTAACCAACTCATAATAATACTTCTATTGGATCCGTCACAATTGAACTAACATCGTCACTTTATCGATTTACTATTTTGTTTAGTCCTTTATACGCTGGATTCAAGACTTGTGATTGTCTGCCTGATTTACTACACTATGTTTAGTACCATTTTACAAACATAAAAGTGAAAATTATCGTGAACAAATAGCTCGGTACGAAAACAAATATCATATGAAATTCAAAATTCGTTTATTTTAGAGTATTTCTTGGCCTTTGTAAAAACGAAAAATATCGTTGATCTATTGTTGCTGGTGGTGAAGCTAAAGAATGTCAAAGTTTTTCTAGGAGAAGTCATTCTTATGTAAATAAATAAGAATTCTTTTTTCGTAACTCCATAGATCCACGAGAAATCAAATTTATTCCATTTTACTTTTATGCCGCAATACCTTTTAAAGCTATAAGAATATTTTTGTCCCTTTAGTAGTACCTCATCCACACTTGAAAGATTTAAAGGGTGAAAAATATGAGAGTCATATTAGCTTGAAAAGCATAAAAGTAAAACATGATAATTTAATTTCTCGTGGATCTCTCTTGACCAGCTAATCAAAAGAAAAAAGCATGATTCGTAAAGTATTAAAATGTATAACACGATATATGGCAGCTGTTTAAGTCACAAAACTTATATCTATCACTTCTATTAATTAGAAAAACTATAAGAGAGTAGATCTTCAGTTTTGAAGGCATGATTATTACGATTTGTGGTAGTATGCCAATCATGTCTATGATGTTTCCATGGTAATGTTTGTTACGATCTGTAGAGGAGGATCTGAAAATTCTGCCTCTATGCTTCAAAACTCATATTAATTATTAGATTTATGTTTGGTTAAATTAATTCTCAAAAATTCAATTGAGTTATTCCGTATAATGAGTTCCTATTTCTTTGTAGCATTAGTTAAAATTGCTATAACAACAAATCCAGAAATAACTTTTCCTGGACAACGTGTATGTCAATATGATCGATTTTTACCTAAAATCTAATATTATATTTTAGATGCTTGAACTTGTACGACCAATAAGAAAAGTTTTAAAAATTGAACATACAGCATTAGAAAATTTTGAAGCATTAAAGGCTTTAACTAATTTAGCTAGTATTGGTGAAAGTGTTCGAAAACGTATTTTAAAAGAAGGTGAATTTTCAACTATAGAACAATATATGTTTGAAGAACATTCAATGTTAGGACAAGCACCAGTTGAATGTATGTATAATTTAGTTGTTCAAGAAGAAGTAAATAAATTCATAATTCATAATTTTCATTTGATAACTTTTTTATTATTAGGTTATTAAATGTTTTACTGGTGAAAATGATNATGTAAAAGACGAAAGCATGTTAAATCATAATAACATTCTAGTGTAGAACCCAACGTTGAATCAACAACATAACAATCAACTATCATTCCTGGAACTACTACTAATTGATCTTGGCTGTCCTTGATAAGAGCTGGACGTGGACATCCGGTAATAGACAAGCACGAGCAATTTTCGAATACCACTGGTAACATTTTTGGGTGATTCCAATCTCCAAAATTCGATAGTGGATATCGAAGATAAAAGTTGGTTTCCAAAGCTGATACATATAGATTCCCAGCCATAGTCCGTCGAATAGCAAGTAAAATCTGAGAAAATCTTGTTTGAGCCGAAGAAATCTGATTATTGAGCTCTCCTTGAGCTTGATGACGAAGAAATTCTTCGGTAACTGCCATCGGACTAAGAATGCGTGATGCACCAAAACTTGTGATAGCATCAGCCCACGTCCTCTTGCTCACAACACAAAAACCTGCGATTGCTTGCCAGAAAGAGCTGAGATAAAATTGAATGTCAGATTCAGTTGACGATGACGTGTTTTTTTCGACGGATATTGAATCAATCCATTCTTGTGTGATAAATTTACTTGAACATACTGGGTGAAAATCGACGTGAACTTTCACAAACAATCCATAGGTGATTCCAACTTGAGAGCATCGACATTGAAGAGTATTCGGATATTTTTTCGCCAAATATACGAACGTGACTCGTGAAGGTGAATAATCAATACCATTTTCTGTTCGGATAATGAATGTAGAAACAACTCCGATAGTAAGAAGGAGACCAACCAATGATAAAATATAAATGCGTGTTGCGAGTCGTTCTCTTGGAGCAGTCTGTGCATCACTCGAGTTTGTTTCGAATAGGTTCAGACGAAGAAAAGACTTCCACAAGAAATTCAATGGATTCCACAGCATCAGTACTCTGTGTTTATTTGACAACTAGAGGTCTTCAATGAAATATCTTAGAAAATGCAAAACTAATAATTCTTGCTACACTTACAACACATCTGGAAGGTAGAAACGAGCCGGCAATCTCCAATTATACTTTTCATACGCATATAGAAATTGAAGGAAGATATGAATATAATTTTGGATAGTGAATAACAGTTTTGTATGCATGCATCTTTAGTGAGCAGTTTGAAGAATGAGAAATTTTCCAATTAATTTCATAATTGCACACAAAGGCGCTGTCTGGAAGATAATTTTTTATGAGCAATTGAGATGAATACAATCAACATAATCTGAAAAATCGTGGTACGTTTCACTCTTCGGAGATCGAAATAAGTCAGGAACTTGACGATGTTTGTTAGAGCAAGACTTAGTCTAGTAAGATTTTCTTATATTTTCTTACCTTAGAAGCACGTTCATTGTTCAATACATGCGCTTATATGTAGATTTCTTCTCTCCATCTCGCTTTCTCTCTCTGATATGGATTGAAGACAAAGTTAAAAATCATCTACAAATAAGAATCTTTTCAGGAGCTAGAGTGATGTTTCATGTTAAATTTGGTGTTGGAAGTTTCTTGATTATCGTCGATCATTATCATTGCTCTATGAACAAGATGAAAATCATGTTAAATGAATTGCACTATCATATGAAAAGCTAATAAGGATTTAGGTGCTTTATTACCTATGTTGAAATTTAGAAGGCAATTATCCACTGTTTTCATTTTTATATAACTGTAGAGGTCACATTTCAGGCATTGTCTTCGTGTATGACCGATCGAAAACTGACTGAGATATACGATTTCTTGAAAATATCAGTGAACATCGATGTTTTGAATATAAAAGCAAAAGAAGAAACATCGTCTGCTTAATCCGAGAATCTCCAGATACCATAGATGAAATCCTCAATTCTTTTCCTTATCGATGTCAACATCAGTAGAAAAATTGTAATCAGACCGTCTTGTTTATTGGTATGACTTATCCTTCATTTTTTTCACACAATAACAGTCAACTTGAACTCTCAATTAGTCATTTATGCTTTCTAATAACTACAGCGATGATAAAGTAGTTCGTTTTTAGTACTTTTTATTATTTAATTTCATACTTTCTCTTGCTCTTTGGTATCCATTGTTGAAAAAAAACTCCATACGATTAAAGATTGCTTCTGAACTTCACCCATTCATGATTAGTTCGTCAGACAAATATATGATAAAAATTAATGTTATACCTGATCTGCTTTCCATATTATATTTCCTTTATTATCTTTTATGTGTATATAAATTTTATCCGCAAACTAGTGCAGTAAATATTAGTAAATTCTTGAACGACTGCAAAGTTAAAGTATCATTCAGTTTTGTTCTAATAGTATAAATTGGCATGGAAGTGGGTTGATAAAATATAAGCGATATTGCATGATGGAGTTTCACTCGATACAATAGTTTGGTTTCTGCGTCTTCAGACAAAAAGAATTCGATACTAGTAAAATATTTTTGAAAAAAGCTGCAACTAGAAAAAAATAAAACTAAAGGCTTGTAAAAAGTTTGAATATGCTGTCTGTTAAGCAAATGACGATTGAATCGGTCGTTTATCATAATTGGTTGCAGCTCTGCCAGATGGCATCCGCCTCTCTAGCTTCATCGTTTTTTCGCTCGCTGCTTACAGCTACTAATTTCAAATTTAGCGAAAGACACGAAGTTACATCAAGCGGTATTGATATATTTAACCATTACATTTAAATAATTTAGGACACCTATATCTAAGTTTTAATGTTAATTTATCATACAGAACTCTCCAAAGACATCGTCAAAGCTGTTATTTACGCAAGAACCAAATTTCAATCGTTTTTCTGTAGAAAATATTATATAATTCTTTAAAAAACTCGGGCTTGATTCTCCCGTCCTATAAACTATGTTTGGGACTTATTCAAACTGTGATGTCCTCTTGAATTTTTACGTAGTAGACTATGGAAGCAATGAAAGATTATGCGTTGGTGGTACGCAAATAGACGTAAATGAAGACTATTTCTTCCTTTCCGCATGAAAGTCACAAAGGCAGAGATACACTTTTGCTCGAGGTTATGACTATTAAAAATCGTCACTGATTCTGAGCAAACTAAACTGTTCATATAAGAAAAACGAAAATCAAATGTGCTTTTTTGATCGCTAGGCACATTTGGCGTCAAGTTCTTTTATCTTAGGAATTTTTGTGAGTCATCTTGTTTTTCTCGAACCATGTTCAAAAATGTGATTGCCATGTATTAAGCAAAATACATCAGGCTTTTGAAACATTTTTTTATTTGATAAGTAGGATTCAATAGATACAACGATAGCTGAGCATCGGACGTTTCAATTTTTAAAACTGCTACTTGACAAATGAGTTGATCGACATTAATGTCCTTGAACTTTTATTAGCTGATATCTGAGAATATGAAGCCAGTATCTTGCCAAAAGTACAAAGCAATTAAAAATGTTGAATGTTTCATTGATAGGTGATCATATTTTAAAATTTTAATTTTCAATTCAAATCGTATGTAGTTTAGAAAGATTTAGAGTTCGCTCTTGTTTTCAATAGAACTCTATCAGAATTTAGGAGAACTTACGAGTGTCGAATGTAGTCTGTTTGAAGCTAAGTCAATGCGGTGTCGAAGTGCTACATCTGATTCTGGGGAATGAATATACTTTACTTACCCCAAAGCAGCAGTATTTTTAAATTTAAAACGATTTAATGTGAAGTTTATTAGCTTTGCATGACTTATGAACTTTGGTACTTCACTAAAAAGAAGATATGATGAATGAGATTCGTAGTGTCCAATAAATTGTTTTAAAAAAAGATGAATGAAATATTATTCTATTTTACATGAGGTGACTGGGATGTGCTGACCGCGTAAGGTTTTTTTTATAAAAAAATATGTTTGAACATAGTAACATCATTGATTAGGCTTAAGTACGAAGAACCTTAATCAAGACTGTTAGTGACGAGTCGATTTATTTACTTCTTGTATTATGAAAAGAACACTTACACTGCACGAGTAAGAAGCATGAATTTGGCTAAGACTGGTGATCATTTTGATCAATGTCGTAGCGAGATTTCAAATCGGTTTTATCACAATTCAGAAAGTTTATTCAATGTTTATTAAAAGTATGACCTCGGTGCATGAGTGTTTAGAGAGAAGCCGAATACCGAAACCCAAATTTTAATTTCTCTCTTTTCACATATTTTTCTACATTTTTCTTTGTCGCATATAGATATTTATAGATTCCAATTAGTTTGTTTCCAGTGGCTGCTTCAATTTATCTTATCATACGAATTTAATAGTGTTTCAATACGAAAAATGCTTATGGCATTCATACTGACAATTCTGTCTCACAAACTCTAAATATGACAGTTAATTAAGAAGAAAAAGAAGAATACTACGTAGTTTAGCGCACTCTACCAATAACAGTTGAATAGAGCGAAATGCCGCAACCATATATCAAGGAAACTCTGCATCTTCCTAAACTAGATATAAAATTTTATTGGAAACAAGAGCGAACTCTACAATTTCCACTTGTTCAAAATAAAGAGAAGATTTTAATTTTCGAATTATTTTTCAAGAAATGATTTTTAATAAATCAAAAAATGAAAATTTGAAGCCTTAAATTGCTTTTAATCTGAATAATTCAAATTCATTGAAAAATGAAGTAAAATTGAATTAAATTTAACAAACTTTGAATTTTCGATTTTATGTTCACAAGTGAGAGGATACGTCTGAGCTGTAACTGCATCTAAAACGCGTTGCGATTGCGATACGTCTCTCATATGTTTACCAAGGCAAAAAACTCAATAACACACAATTTGACACGTGTGAGTGTTAGATCATGCACACAAAGTGATGGTATAAGACGACAAGTGTGTTGTCTCTTGTAGCCTAACTGGCTTAGTACATCTGTTAGAATCGCAGAACGTGCGTGATTCGAGTCTCGCGAAGAGCATAACTTTTCCTTCTGTCACTGTAATATGTCGTCCATTTCGATCGATTATCTAACTATGAGAAACAGCTGTAAACGCAGAACTCCGATTAAAATACATACAGACGCATATTTTAGATTCATATAAACAATGGTATT